AGAGAGAGAGAGAGAAAGAGATGTATTTTTCAGTCAATCTTTTGCTTATGTAATCTTTCTCAATACAATTGACTGTAAAAGCAGTAAATATTAGATAACTTCTCTCGGGGGACGATTACGTCGGAGTTTCAAAACATAGAAAGTTAATAAACGATGAACTACGTGTTTAACGGCAATAATTACTCTTCATGTATTACTTTTCAACTGACTCAATATTATCACTTTGTCGGAAGAAATTAGAATAGATACTTACATACTTCCTCTCATGTGAAGGCCAATATCAATTTCGTCTTTTGTTATATCGTAAAACACTACTAATCTAACTTTAAAACAATTATCAATTTTCAAATTGGGTAGCTAGATATAAGGGATATAGTTTTCAGAAAAAATAAATTAACTTTGTTAAATTATAAGTAATATGTGTTTATCTAAAAAAAGAGAAGTTGATAAAGATTTAAGTATCTTATTATTATTTTTGCATGTAACAGTATTATTATTATATACGTTATATATATTACAATATCATGATACTTTAAAATATGTATGTAATACAATATATACAATATATTTTTTTTATCCATTTGCCTTATTCTTGGATTAAGAATAGCAAATTTTTATTTCCTAGTTTGTATCTCGCTGTACTGCATTGTGCAATATTGAATATGCAATGAGAGAAGCTATAAATTACTTGTTTTATGCTCGCTAGGAAAACTCGCGGGAAGTTATTAATATATTTTACAAGGTCGGTTGTAAAAAATATTTCATGAAACTATAATATTCATCGAACTTTTAAAAATCTCACTTTTAAAAATCAACTTCGGAAAGCCCCCTCCCCCCTTATGGAAAGATAAATATTAGTGGTTAGAAAAATTTTCGTTAAATTTTATATGGCTGTGTTTTTCTTTCAAAGACTAGTCCCGGGACAGGCGAATGAACCAACGAAAGAACTATCATGAAGATATTTATGAGCAACTGGCTTCAAATTATTCGGATTGTTACGAATACCGAACAAATATTCCCCGACCATTCGGTGTTCTCCTTGTGTATTTTTTTTTCAAATCGTAAACGCTAGTAGTTTAGGGAATTGCCTGAATTTTATCGCTTCTTTTTCTTTTTTCTTTTTTTTTACTCTACCTGTTTCGCTCAAGGAAACTGCCATCAAAAATGATTTTCATTTAGTAGGGGTTTTTCTTAATGATTTTTTGTTCACCAACCAACCGAGACGAAGGCCTGACGTTTCTCTTATTCTCTCTTGGGTTTCAGATAAGAATAGAAATTGATCTTAATGTTTGCGTACGAGTATTATAAGGGCAATGCGAGTAGAAAAAGGGAGAAACGGTTATTGCACTGTGTCGAAGAAACTTGGTGAAATCAGGTCTCATAATATCTATAACTTTTGCTACTTGACCCTGTACGGAATTCAACGAATGGTCTCACTCATTGCTCTAGAAAAAAATATACTTCTTTAGAAAAATTTAAAAGAACAGAAAAAATTTCTTTTAGCGTCGTTACATGACTCATAAAATATTATTACTTACAATATACTTTTGGCCAAAACAAAAATTTAGTGAAAAATATCTGTTTATATTTCCAATTTATGTTTGATATTTTTATCGATAATTACTTGGTTAGTGAAAAAGTATCGATTGGTTAGTGAAAAAGTATCGATTATTACGAAAAATATTTATTACTACAATGGTTACTTTCACGCGAGAGAAGTATTAGGCGCGTTACATCCCGTGAATCTAGTTACTTTCCTACCTCCGAGCGGTGAAATGGGAGCAAGGTCCGGGGAGTTAGGAAGAGGCTGCTAAAATGCAATAAGTGGCTTTTAGCCAAGCGATTGGCCAAGTGACTGACTCGTAGGAAAATAGACTCGTCCCCGTGAATTGATCCGGGCCAACGCGACATCGGGGCGCGAGCTTTTTCACCGTTTTTGAAAACTCCGAATTCCGAGAGGAACACAAACGATAAATTGATAAAGCGGATAAATTATCTCAAATTTATAGAGAAGTTTCAGAAAAATATCAACGTGCTTACTATATAAACTAATAATATATTTTTATTAGATGATTATTGCAAATAAATATTTTGGCAGACTGATTAATGTAATCATCAATCAATTTGATATTTTTTTAACTATCATAAAATATATTCTTCTATTTATATAATTTATAATAAATTTTTCTAAAATAATTCTTTAAATATAAAAAAAAAGAACCTTGCTTGAAAAGTTCTTGAAAATCTCTGTTTTGTAATATTTAACGGAGGAATGAATGCGCGCGGAAAAATTAAGATAATTCTTTCTTTAAGAGATAGAGACGTAACACCCCAGGGGTTAATTAACTTCAGGATTTAATGGGCAGCAATACGTTGTTCATAAAAACGATCCAACACGCTAGCGTCTCTCTATTCAGCGGGTTTCGTTTCTGCTCGAGCTCGGCAAAAAGAGCGTGCCATTTCCTCCGCGGCCATTTCTTCCCGATGAGGAGGGCAGGAAGTTCTCCATTCCTTTTCACTTCCCACCTAACAAAACTTACCTTCTACCGCCGCTATACCTCATCTTCTTTTATTCGCCGTCGCGCTTCTCGCTGTCTTTCAACGGCGATTCGGAACACACCACGCCACGGGGAAACGTTTGGTTACTTTCAATTTCATTTCGCCGGCACTCACGGCATTTGAGAAAATTACGTAAGCGGACAAGCGGGACTTGTACTGCGGGAAGAGAAGAGAAGGGCCAGTCGCCCAGGGAGCCATGTCGAAATAATAGCGGCCACTCTTATTATATACTTGCTGCTAGCGCTTACTCTGACTTAGACATTTTGCTTGATGATCGCTCTCGCGGAAAGGAAAGAAGAGTACAATTTTAATGCAAACAAACGTGAATATGAAACGTTCCTAATATGGCTAATAGTTGTACGTATATACGGTCAGATATCAATATATGACCATAAATCTTTTTATTTGCGTAAACAAACTTCAAAGTTTGATGTCATCCTGAGGACTAAAGTATAAATGAAATCTATTTTTATACCAAGATATGAATTATTTGCATTTTAAGTTGTTTTCGTTTTATGTAGATTTTATTTTAGTTTACGAGAACAAATATGCATTTCACAGAGTAAAGAGGCATTTATAGATCGATCAGTTTGAAGTCGCATAGCTAATTTACGTTTTACGTATTTTATTGTTGCTCGCAGTAGCACTAACAAACACGGTCCAAAGAGTGTCGCGTACGACGCATTTAGAAGCGATGTTCCCGTTTCGAGAGACGAGAGTTAAGGTCGGCCTCGAAGTTCTCGCGCCTTGTCGACCTCCTAGCGATATAATGATGACTGCACCCTCGTCTAATGCTTCGCATTGAACACTGCACTCGGATTAACTAGAATTGCACTAAAGCACTGCTATACCGAATGTTATACTACCGTAACTTTTTGCCACGGATAGCATTAACTGCAATCTAAAAGCGTCTCCATTTTTTAGAAAATATACGTGAGAAAATCCGCTCAAGATACAAAGAGATCCAAGAGTTTACAGAAGATATCATTATTTCTGTAAAATATTTTGAAGAAGAGAGGCAAAAAATTTATTTTAATAGATTTAAATAAAGACAAAGTATACAATTTTACAATATATTATCCAAATATCTTTTTATGA